GAGGAGAACCACCGCATAACAGTGCCTCCCACTCCCAACTCCCCCAGACGCCGCAGCATGATACCGTGGTCCACGGTATCAAAAGCCGCTGAGAGGTCCAAAAGAACTAGGACAGAGGAATAACCCCTGTCCCGGGCCCTCCAGAGATCATTCATTGCAACCAACATACTGTAAAATATGAGTCGGTTGCCAAGTATCTGAATTTTGATGTTCATTTTAAATGAACATCTTAATGATTATACATAACAATTTGGTGGGTTTTGTTCATTTTATTTTCAGCCTGAAAATTTAGTTGTTGGCACAATAAATTCAAAGCGATTGTTTATGATTCATAAATGCATATTTTTAAAACAAGCTCGGAACCCCCACAGGAAATCTGCAATATATTTAACTCTAATATAAATGTGTAACATTTTAATTCTTTCTTTTTTGTACTCTGTTAGTTTCCATCTTTTATCCATAGTCAAAAGAGGAATCCACAGACACATCTGAAAGATGCAGACATGGTATGGGACTTTTGGAGTCTTCGCCCTGAGTCTTTGCACCAGGTAAGATTTTATTCCCTTTTAATTACTTGTACTCTGTTTCTTTCAGGCCCTGTGTCCTTCATCTTTAGTTCAGAGGAAATGGCAGAGATCAAAGATACAAATTAAAGACTTGATTATTGTTATTCTGCTACATTAAATTACATATCACATTATAGAAAAGGTTATCAGGAAAGAAGAAAATTGCATTTAGTTTCCATGGCATCTTTATATTTTTTAGATAAAAGCCAAAATGGTCAAAGCTGCTCTCAGCTCTTTCTTGTTCTAATACCACTCTCGCAAACATGAAGGGAAGGGAAGAAAAATCAAGTAATGCTTAGAATTGCTTGAAATTCATTTGTTTGTCTTTGCCAGTAAAATATAGAGCTAGAAATGTGTCTACAGTATTTATAGAAGCCATAAATTAAATGTGTAGAACACATATTTTTATTTTTCTATTGATACTTTGTATTTGCAAAAAAACAAAAGCAATAAAAATGTCATAACATACAAAAAGCAGTTAAAATGATTTTTTAAAGATCTTGCTGGCCCAGCTTAAGACATATTTTGAAAAAGCCATTCAAAAAATTAGATTTCTTTGAAAGTCTGTTCAAATGTAATAGAAACTGCAAAATTTCCCCATGGAAAGGTGTGCAAAATCTGTGTTACCATTGTGTGGCTATGATTATACTGAAAGAATGTTTAATTATGACAATTTATCATTGCTCAGCAACATATTTGAAATACTGAACTTCACAAAGCCAATTCCAATTCATTTATTTCTGGGCTGGAAAATAAACTTGGGAAGATATTAGTAATATTTTTCTTTGATTAATTCCTAAATTTTAAGTTTAATTATTTGTTGCACACAATTCAGAGACATTCTAAGAAATTGTGCTTCGGTTGTAGATGTATTACTTATTTATTGTGTTGCTCTTTTTCCCAACAATTTACTAAACGAACAGTATAAATACAAAGGCAATAGAATTTTTTCAAATAAATTCATAAAACCAGCCATGTTTAAGATAGTAATTACAGAAATTAAAACAATGGTTTATTCTAAGAAATAGAGTAACTGACAGTATTAAAAATACTGTTGATCTTGTTCTTGAATGGTTATTATTTTATAAATACCTTCACTGAAGAGGTATAGAATTGATTTCTATAAAAATTTGCCATAGAATGCTCCTCAAGACACACACACACATTTATTATTCTTGTTTTTTGAATGAATGTCATGAGACTGCAATATGACATTCTAGATATTGGGTAGGGCTCAATGGGAATATGCATAAAGTATAAAATACAGTTGGAATACACCTTGCTGCAGAAAGAGGCAGGAATCTGTCCTCTGTGTCCTCATTAAAGATGGCTATGTACTTTGTTTCGGCTCATGCCATTCCCTCACTGTTTCCAGGATGGCTTCGCAGGTCACATGAAACCACTTCGCGGGCCGCATCTGGCCCCCGGGCCTTGTGTTTGACATGTCTGCTCTACAAGGAGCATTAATTATTCTTGTTTCTCGAATGAATGTCATGAAACTACAATATGACATTCTAGATATTGGGTAGGGCTGGATGGGAATATGCATGAAGTATAGAATACAACTGGAATATACAGTTTATGCAGGAAGAGACAGCTGTTCAATGGAATCCGGCCTCTGTGTTCTCATTAAAGATGGCTATGTACATTGTTTCGGCTCATGTAGGTATCATTCCTGTTCAGCGATCGTGGCATTCCAGATGGGCACCGTCACATGAATGGCTATGGGTCACATACATTTAAGCTAGTCAATGCTTATGGCAATGAAATATACTGCAAATTCCATGTAAAGGTAATTATGGTCTATTGTTACCATTTCCTGCTCAATGTTGACCCATCAAAAGTCTGTCCCTAACTGCTCCTTATGATTCCATATATCTTTTTTTCTTTCAATCTGTACCGGCCATGCTTTTAATTGCTAGGCAAAGCCACTTGCATTCATATCTGTTCCTATTTCTAAATAATAATAATAATATTTTTAGCAACAAGCTTATATCTCCCTTTGTATATGGAAATTGTACTCCTTCCACCCATAATACTGTCTTTTCTACATGTAATTTAACGATATATCTTTGGATCTAGATTTGTTTCTTATATAGCAGTTTTATAAACATTCTCTTTTAGTAGATTTTTAAACTGTTTTAATGCAGATTACTGTAACTAGGTTAGGGTTAAGGATGAGATTAACTATTTCTACATTAATAATTATAGATAAAAAGTTACTAATTAACATTCTGATTGCTTTTTAATATTTTTAGACTGATCAAGGAATTAAAAACCTCCCTGTCAAAGAAGCAGAAAGATTAGCTTCTGAAGATCCGGATTATGGCCTGCGTGATCTTTACAATGCAATTGCTAATGGAAATTTCCCCTCTTGGACTTTCTATATTCAAGTTATGACATTTGAACAAGCTGAGAACTTTCCATTTAATCCTTTTGATCTAACGAAGGTGAGTATATTTTTGTGACCTTTTCTTCAGCATACAGCGTAGAATAGAAAAGGTACATTTCTATATCTTGCAAGTCCAAGCTGAATGTAGTAAAATATCCCAATTATATTTTTCAGATTTGGCCTCACAAAGATTATCCTCTCATTCCTGTGGGAAAAATTGTCTTAAACCGAAATCCCGTCAATTATTTTGCTGAAGTGGAACAAATGGCTTTTGACCCAAGCAACATGCCCCCAGGGGTTGAACCTAGCCCCGATAAAATGTTACAGGTAACCAGAATTGATTTTTTTTCCTCCTATTCATTTAACTGGGAAACTCAGTCTTTAAATAAGATCACTTTTACAAAAATGAAAACATGTTAACATCAATCTGTTTGGTATTAGAATTTTTTTCCTTGTCCTGTGCTTTTCATTTTGTGGTGTGTTGGGTTTTTTTGTTCCCACCTCTGAATAGTAAAACAATTGGTAAAAAGAACAACATTCATTATTTGCATCTTAAGCACTAGCAGAGGTTGACACAAGGAACAGGATAAGACTCTCATTCTAGATATATTTAATTAATGAAAAGTGTAGATAGCCCTAGCAATAGCACTTGGACTTATATACCGCTCCATTGTGCTTTACAGCACTCTGAGCAATTACAGAATCAACTTATTGCTCCCAACAATCTGGGTCCTCATTTTACCAACTTTGGAAGGATGGAAGGCTTGAGCCTGTCAGGATTGAACTCCAGGCTGTCGGCAGAATTAGCTTGCAGTACTGTATTCTAACCACTGTACCACCAGGGCTCATAGATTTTTTGGGGGTTGATTATATCATTTCATTATATATATATATATGTAGGTCTTTGGTTATTCGGGTTTTCTCCCGCGTAAAATTGGAAGTGTCTTGGCGACATTTCGACGAAGTCCCATTTGTCATCTTCAGGCTGGTGTTTTCAGCTTCGTGCTTCTAGGAGTAATGTGTGATCGCAGCTGTTTCTTCCTTTTAACTGCCAGTGGCGTTTGAACTGATTGGGTGGGAGCTTGGCTGTGTTCACAGCCAAGCTCCCACCCAGAACAGAACACAGCCAGAACACAGCCAGAACACACCCAGAACAGAACACAGCCAAGCTCCCACCCAATCAGTTCAAACCCCACTGGCATTTAAAAGGAAGAAACAGTTGCGATCACACATTACTCCTAGAAGCACGAAGCTGAAAACACCAGCCTGAAGATGACAAATGGGACTTCGTCGAAACGTCGCCAAGACACTTCCAATTTTACGCGGGAGAAAACCCAAATAACCAAAGACCTTCATACAAACACCCGCGAAAACCTCAGAAAACAATTATATATATATTTATAATATATATATATATATAATGTGAAACCATTGAAAACATCCTGTGAAAGCTAGAGTTAAGTGAGTAGAGGTGACTCTTTCACTGCTTCAGTCACAGGGCCTGTCAGCTTATAAAGTACTTAAAAAAGAAAGAGTTGGAGGGGCACTGATGATGGCATCAAAAACATTCTTGTAATTGTGTTGCCTCTTTCTGCTATATTGAAGAGATGCCTTTGATCTGATTATATAGGTTTGCTTCTGAGCCATGTTCTTGGGTCCTTTGAAATCAAGACTTTCCCCCCCTCATGTAGGATAGGACAAGCAATAGTCTCTCAAAAAAGCAGTGATGACATAGGCAGGACAGAAAGCATTGAAAAGCAGTCTGAATAAAACCTAAGAAAAGGCTGTCTGCTTCCTCACTTTTACCCCTGTAATATATTTTTCTAGGGTCGTCTTTTCTCGTATCCAGATACGCACAGACACCGCCTGGGGCCCAACTACCTTCAAATTCCTGTAAATTGTCCATACCGAGCTAGAGTGGCTAACTACCAGAGAGATGGATTTATGTGCATATCTGATAACCAGGGTAAATCTGAATAACATTTGGGAGCTAGGCTGTGGCAGCAATTTAAACTAACCTATCGCAGGTGCTTTTTCTTCATTTACATTGACATTACAACTGAACTATTTCTTCATTTTTATTTTATATTAATTTCTCCCTTATTTTTATTATATGGATATGTAAAAATGTTTAGATTTGGATGTTGTGCGAAGCCTCATTCAATATGCCCATCAGCCAAGCTCACACAGTAATTTCACCGTCAAGCCTTTTTTCTTAACATTATCAAGATAATAACAGGCCCTAAATAGTTTTTGTTTGTTTTGGGAATTGGAACCAGCTAAGAATAGACTTAGTATGAAGGAATGCAGGCATTGTAAAAATGCCATTAGCTTGCTAAAACAAAATTTTGGCTATAAGACTTAGTGATACGCTTTTGGAGTTGACACTCTTGCATTCTTTACAGCTTCTGCCTTGCTCCTAATATATTGTATTTCCCCCCCCCCTAGGTGGTGCCCCAAACTATTACCCAAATAGCTTTACTGGCCCTGAGGAACAGCCCACTTTGAAGGAGAGCCGAACAACTACATCAGGCGATATACAGCGCTTTAATAGTTCAGTTGAGGATAACGTCTCTCAAGTAAATAAATTGGAAATGCCCTGTTATTTTATTTTGCAAATGAAATGTCTCTGTAAGCACACTTTTTCTTTTTCTCTCTCTTTCTAAGCAAGGTAAATTTATCATCAACATTTTCTTTGTATGTCTTCCAAGCACCTAATTTAAAACAAAAAGTTGAGAGCACTTGCTTGATATAATTCTATTCTCAAGCAATTAAGTTTTGGTTTCCTGTTGGCTCTCAACTTTTGTTACTTGATTTTCTCCACAAATGGATCCATGTATAAAAGTGAGATTATTCAGAATCTTGGAGTCAGTCCATTATTTTCCTGGTTTGGCCAAAATTACTATAAAGTGCTAATTCTTTATACTGCAGATCTTTCAAAAATATCCCCCACTTTTATAAAAAATATATATTTAGAGGTAGTCCTTGACTTATGAACACAATTGGGACTGGATTTATCATTGTAAATCGAGGCACTCTCATCAGTGGACCTGATTTTATAACATTTTTGTGGCAGTCATTAAGCAAATCACTGTGGTCATTAAATGAATCTACAGCTGTTAAGTGAACTCATGTTTTTCAAATGGGGTTTTCACCAAAAACCAGCACACAATATCACAAATCACAATCGCATGACACTGAGATGCAAGAACAATCCCACAAAGAAGGCAGAACTTTTCATATTCTAAACAGCAGAGAGAACTCCATGATAATCACAAATAGCCATCAGTTTATTGCAATTTATTTAATAGCTGAGTTGATACTGTTAATGAAATTGGAATCATAGACAATTTTTATTGGGCAGCAGAAGGTATATCTGTAATGTTTGCTTTCACTATTTATTGAAAGGTACGGGACTTCTTTGTCAAAGTACTGAATGAGGAAGAGCGCATGAGACTTTGCGAAAATATTGCTGGCCATCTTAAGGACGCTCAGATTTTTGTCCAGAAGAAAGCTGTAAGTAATAACATGATACATCTCAAGCTGTACAGAGATTCTGGTTTGAAGAGAAACATTGGCTTTGGAGCATGCAGTGATACATATATATCATCTTTTATAAAGCAGCTGTGTCTTTTCTTGGTCTCACACATCTTCTGGCATACAATTCTAGATAAGACTTTTGGTTTCAAGGTGTTTGTGCAGACCCACATGCCCTCCAAATCCTATGCTGCCTTTTGAATCTGAATTGCTCTACAACCCTACCATATAAGTTAATATACAGTGTAGACTTTAAGCTCTATTTGCTGTGATAATATTAGTTGATAAAAACTGTATAATTACCCTCAATTGTATGATGTATATAGTATGAGAATATATATCTGGTTAAAGCCACATAAATTAAGAATGGAAAGTCTCAGGCTCTTTCATATAATTTTATCATCACATTGTAAAGAAGTACAGTACTTCTTTACAATGTGATGAATAAGATTATATGAAAAATATCAATTATCTAGCACAAGACCTCGATCATATGATTTGGTTAGTGCTATGCTCCATCTTGCCACAAAAGAGAAACCTGGAACAGATCTAGATAGTTCAGGCTAATTCTAGTTTAAAGTGGGATTAATTGCCCTTGCCCTGGAGAACATCATTCCTGCCAAGTAAGATTGGTCCCAACCCTACTGGATTTTTGAGGAATCCTTAAAACATGCTTTTGTCAACTGGCCTGAGCATCCCATGATAGAATGGGAGCCTTCAAGATGATTATATGAGGTTTAAGTGGAATGCATTCTCTTGCCTGCTTTTTTACCATTTTGCTTTTTATCTTGTGGTTGCATGGCAATTGTGTTTTTTATTTGTACTGTTTTATTATGTCATCCTCGCAGAGTCCCTATGCGAGATGGACAACTATACAAATGTGATTGATAAATGAATGAATAATGAATATTCTAATTGTTGGATTAAAAACTTATACAAAATTGTATCTCCAATATGTAAAAACTCTGCATTGAATCCATAGCTCAGTTCTCGGCTGCAGTGGCCTTCTGGAAAGGCCTGTGACTGAGAAATGCAGGCCTGGCTTCAGGAGATGCCACAGAAGAAGTGGGCCGGCAAGGAGAGGCCGGGGTGCGTGGGGCAGCTCCACACCCCCACCCCAAAACTAGGGCGTATTTTGGGGGTAGGGCTTATATTAGGCCCACTCCCAAAAATCAAGCTAGGGCTTATTTTCGGGGTAGGCCTTACTTTCGGGGAAACACGGTATGAGATAAATTGAAAAATAGTACTTCTGCTATTACCAATAGTTGAAATAAGTACAGTCCAGATGTGCTGAAATTTCAGATCTCTGCCAAAAGCAGTTGACTTGTCCTCATCAGAACAGGTATTAGAAAAAGTGACAAATGATCTCAATTTCTTTTTGTCAATCTAGGTGAAAAACTTTATGGATGTTCATCCTGATTATGGTGCAGGCATTCAAGCCCATCTGGATAGACACAATGCTAAAGGGCAAAGAAAGGTAAGAAAACATTATCAATTCAGATTACTGTCAAAAGTAGAGATTAAGCAGCTGAAAATGCATTAAGACATAGATGGCATAAATGGCTGTAGAGAGGCTCAAAGGAGGAGTGAGAGGATCTTGAACAACAAAGTTGAAAACAAACAGCAAACGTTACTACAAGTAGTCTTCTGCTTATGACCACAGCTGAGCTTAGAATTTCAGTCAACAATCATTGTGGTCATGTGTTGAGTCATCACGTGACAGGATTTGATTTTATGATTTTTTATGATGGTTATTAAGTGAATCATGGGTTGTTTAAAGAATCACAAAGTTATAAGTCCGAATCCAGCTTATCCAATGGGCATTTTTTGTCAGTTTTTATCAGAAAATGGCAAAAAAAACCAAATGCAAAACGTATTCACGTGAGCGTGTGACACACTGTAGTGAGTCTGGTTGCCAAGCCCCAAAATGCGATCTCATGACCATAGGGATGGTGTAGCAGTTGTAACTTCAGGAAAGAGTTATAAGTAAACTTTTTACTTTACTCCACTGTGATTTTGAATGTTTGTTAGGCAACCAGTCAGAAGTTGAGGACTATATATACAATATCTGGATTCTAAATTGAACTAAGTAGGTTAAACAAAGTTCTATTCCAATGGAATTAAAAGTAGCTGTCAGAATCCCTATGGCTGTATGATAGTACAGGTAGTTAGCAAAGAAAGTACCAATGAGCAATAAAGAAAGGAATCTGTTAGTATTTCATTATTCATTTCTCAAAAATGTAGTTAAAGAAGCATGAGTACAACTAAAAGTAGTTACGAATTTTATATGAAAACAAGTTATTTTTTTCCTATTTTTAATTACATTGTTTCTAGGATCAAATTCATACTTATACACAAACTTCTGGAAAGGAGAAATCTCAGCTGTAAATGGCATGTGATTACCAGTCACATTGGAAATCTTCACCTGAAATCCCTCCAACTGGAAAATGAGCTTTGAAAAGCTTTACGTATAATGGAATTATACATGCTATTATCCTGTGCTATTAACTGCAATATATAACCAAGTGCAATTCTATTTTAACAACAAATTGAATTAACTATATAGATTATTAATTTGGAATCTATCCTGATGATATCTTTGAAATATTATGTCTGAAATACAAGAAGAATAACTTTGTGTTTAATTTCGCTTATTAACATGTTTTATTCTTGTGATTGATTTTTTTCATTTATTTACCCATAGAACAGACATTGCTGTGATTGATATCTTTTATTGGTAGTGCTGGTCTTAACAGTATGACAAATCCTTTTCAAATGGATAGTAAAAATAAAAAAAAACAATTTTTAAAACTGCACATGAATGTCAATCTTTTAACAGCAAATCTCCTCATAGTACATTTTAAAACTATTATAAAGTACTTGAGGGAGAATTATGTTTAAATGTGAAATTTACCAGTGTTATGAAAGCTCTATAAATAATAGTATTATGTTCCAAGCTGTTAGTTGCAATAAAAAAGCATTCCAATTTGAAGATCCTTTAAGAAAAACAATATACCGTAGATGATTTATGCTGAATCTGTGATGATGATAATAAACATGAAATGGCATGTCTGAAATAGTATAACAATTTTGTGCTTATTTTGCCTATCAAAACATGATTTGTATTGTTATAACAAATCTCACATTTATTCTTTTAAAGAATATACATGTCTTTTTCCTTTTATTGGTAATCCTGACAGTACTATAAGAAGTAAATAAAACATTACTAAATAGATATTAACAATTAAAGCAATTTTAAATAAATATACATTATATATGAATGTTTTTAACAGAAAATCTGCGTTCATATGGTACCCTTAAGAATTGTTAAAATAACTTGGTGGATTATGTTAAGGGGATATTTTATTTGTTCTTGGACTAAATGTTTCTTTTGTTGGTTCAGGATGGATCTCAACAGCAGACTTTTGAAATAAAAATAAATAAATTTTTACAATGCTCATTCTACAATAAAATTCTCATAAAATATCTAATGCCTCGATTCTGTTTTAATATTCAGTATAGTCTACTAATCATATACAGTATTTGCTTTTCTATTACAGTCCAGAATGGATGAGGCAAAGCCTTCATTCTTGTCTCAATGCATCATCTTTTGAGAACCACAGGTATATATATATATGAGAGAGACAGACAGATGGCGGGCTGCAGTACATACATGATGATAAAAAGTAAACGGAGCTCTGTCACAAATGAACAGGTTTAGAATTTTCTATTTCTAATAATGCACTTTTGGAGACCCATACTATAACCCCCCCCCCCAGTTTTAAAAAGGCAATACTGAATTTGGGCAATTGTATAATTAAAACTGCAGTATATTCTGAATCACGGGATTCAGATCCAACATACAGGATGACACCCTGCGGTTGCAGCCTGCCCAATCTACGATAAGGGTGAGGGGAGAGAGAGATGTTAGAAGTTAACTCCTTTTTAAAAGGAGACAAAGATTGGAAGAAGTCATTGAATCCAATTTCTTCTTAATTCAGGAATGCAAAGTGAAACATCCTGACAAATGTGTTCCCACATCAGCTGTTAAGAATCTCTATCACAGTGTATTAATTTCTTAGGAAACATTCTTGTGCATCTTGAAAAATAGTTTTACATTTGTCCAGCAGATGGCATCTAATTCACAGGAAAGTCAACAAAAGTCCATTAAAGGTTACCCAAAATTTCATATCTGCTTTAATCTTGCTGAAATAAATCAATTCTATATTCCTTCCCTATGTTTTATTTTTAATGTTTTTCTTTTAATAATCTTGGTTTTTAATTCCATCAAATAATGTCATAGAAATTTCATTTTCTTTTTGTCCGTTCTCAGAATCCTTCAAGACTTTAACAGATCTCTTTTGTAGATCCAATAAGATACAGTTATCAAATAATTCTGCTGGTTTGATAATTGTTTGTCCCCTTTAAATGTTAAAGACATCACCTGGTTTCATTTGTATATCTAATATATCATCTTGTTTCATATTTTTCTTGTAACTTGTCATATTTAAACCAGCGTTTCAATCTTATCAGTATAGTTTTTTCTTCTGTGACATTAACACATCATTTATCTATAGTATCAGATATTCTTAAAAGAATACAATTAAAAGAAAGGTATACATAACAAAGAATGGAGCAAAATAACAGTGGGTGGTTTGAAGGACAGTTTTGAACAATGGATTGAGAAAATTTTAATTGTAATATTTATTTTTGTCTAGTTCCCCATAGTGTCCAACTATCATCATTTCCCCCCCAAAGAACTCAAACACAGGAAAGATTCTTAAAATATATTTAAAATTTTTATTCCAAATCCCTCTGGATCCTCAATCTGTTTTTAACTTTCCAACATTAATAAAACTTCTGATCTGTCATAATGAAGGCTTCAGATATAGTGTTATCTCAAAGGTACATTGCCAATCTTACATCTCATTTTCAGTTTATAAATACATTTGAGATTATAAATACTGACCTTTTATGTTTATTCTTTTTTAATTCCTCACCTCCAGTTGAGGTGTTGGACTGATTTCAGTGGGAATGCGAACATCTGAACCTGTCTTACTGAGATATCGTCTATTATGATTATGATTTTGAAAGGGGTAAAGCTGAATTTGATGTACAGCTCTGGATAAATGATGATTATTCCCAAAATGTATACACATTTATTGGAAATGGAAACAGATGATCAATAAGTTAAAGCTTGTATAATTAAGAGGGCAAAAATAGATATAAGTTGGAACCATGGGAAAATATGTAGAAGAAAACACTGAAATTTACACTGAAATACAAGCTTAAAGAAAACTTTCATAAAATTATGTATCATTGATATATGACACCACATAAATTGTCAAAACAGTATAAGGTGATTTCAAATAATTGAAATGTAATCAAACTGACAGAACACTTTTTCATTATTGGTGGACGTGTAACAAAGCTAGAAAATATTGGGATGAATATATATTTTGATATATCAATGAAGATTCTCAGTCATCCAGGCAGAGTTGTCTGAAAATTGAATCATTGCAACTGGACTTATTTTGTTAATTTGAGTTGTTTCACTGCTCATTGAAGCAGCTTCTTCAGTCTGAGCAAGTTGGTTAGGCAGAGTCTCATGTATTTTGATGCAGAATTTAAAAATGAATGTACTACTGGAATCAGAAATGTTTGTTTTAGGGTTAATAGGCAAACAAATGGATTTTAAGATTTTCATATGCTCCAAGATGGAAGAACTTACAAATACCTACAATAAAAGAATGGATGGCAAAGTTGGTAAAATTGGCAAAGATGGCAAATGATAGCCTTGATGAAAGACTTTGACCAATTTTATTTCCACTTTGAAATCATTTCCAGACTTTTTTGTGAAAAATTGAAATAGATGAGAAGTTGATATGAAAAAGATAGTCTTATTGCAGGTCTGCATATATATTGCTGATGTAGTTCAGAGATTGACAGTATTGTCCTGATAAATATCAATACAATTGTATATATTTCTTTAAACATTGCTCCATATGACTTTATTTAGATTCTTTTAATTAAAATAAATGAATTCTTACAGCAACTATGACAATCATTTTATAAGAGCACACACAAGTGCTATCAAAATTTCAAATGTGTTGCTTGGCATATTGGGTTGCCTATCCCTGGTTTATTCTGAATAGGCTTTAGAAATCAATGAGTTCATATGCTTATGCACTTGAATAACAGAATAACAGAATTGGAAGGGATCTTGGAGGTCTTATAGTCCAAACCCCTGCTCAAGCAGGAAATCCTGTGCCATTTCAGATAAATGGCTGTCCAATCTCTTTAAAAACCTCCAATGTTGGAGCACTCACAACTTCTGGAGGCAAATCATTTCACAGTTCCCACTGTCAGGATATTTCTCCTTAATTCTAGGTTGTTTCTCTCCTTGATTAGTTTCCATCCATTGCTTTTTGTCCTACCTTCAGGTGCTTAGGAGAATAGATTGAGCCTCTCATCTTTATGGCAGCCGCTTAGATATTGGAACACTGCTATCATGTCACTCTTAGTCCTTCTCTTCATTAAATTCCTGCAACTGTTCCTTATATGTTTTAGGCTCCAGTCCCCTGATCATCTTTGTTGCTCTTCTCTGTACTCTTTCTAGAGTCTCAACATTTTGTTTTATATTGTGGTGACCAAAACTAGATGCAATATTCCAAGTGTGGCCTTACCAAGGCATTATAAAGTATTAACACTTCACGTGATCTTGATTCTATCCCTCTGTTAATGTAGCCTAAGACTGTGTTAGCTTTTCTGGCAGCTGCTTGTTTAGATATTGCTGAAGGAAAATAGTCATATTTTATATTACTCATGTTTCCTTTGTTTGCAGTTTATCTTACAATACATCTGCTTCTTCTAAGTAAGTCTAAGTACTTTTCTTACACTTATAAACATCTCATGAGTTTTTTCCATAGGCATATACAGTATTTTATAATCTATCACATATATACAAACCCAAATGACTGAAAAATCTTGAAGATGCTGAGTAAACAGATGAAATACTTCTCTTTAATTTACTTTTCTTCTGTTACTCATCAAATTCTGCCTAGAGAAGAAGTCTTTTCTTCTTTCTATGGGATTAGTATAGGGTGGGAAGTTTATTATCAAAGGAAAAAGGCAAACCTTGTTAAATTTAGGAGCAGGTACAATTTTAATCCAGTAAATTATGTGGATTGGGAATGTAAATGAGAAACATGTATGCCTGAATAAGGAAGAAGATGAAAAAGAATAGTATCGCCTTTCCTAAACAGAAATTTGAATACATTTCTCTCATTCTATGTTGGGATGGATATTCAGTACGAAGTAACTGTTCCACTTTGTTACTGGGAGATCAGTTAAAGGAAGCCCTTGCCTGGCCTGGGCCCATCCATTCGATGGCTCTGACGGGGGTGGCTTCTGCTGCTACTCCAACCTGTCAACCATGCAGAGAAGCAGAAGGCAGTGGAGGGGCAGCCGGGGGTCTGGAGTTGTTCCAGACGCAACAAATTCGCACACCAGCTGCCCCTCCTGCTTCCCTGCATGGTTGAGTGGTCAGATCAGAAGCAGAAGCCACTCCCGTCAGAGCCGATGGGGCTCTGTGGCCAGTCCGTCGTCATGCAGGACAGCCAGCAGGCTGTGGCTGCTGATGGACACCGTTGGCCCCCATGCGCTCACTGGCCTCTGTGTGCAGGGGCCGATGGTGTCAGACAGCAGATCCGAAAGCGAAACTGTACCAACCATCCTTGCACTGGTGGGAGCGATGATGGGGGAAGGCAGGATCTGGCATGTGCCCACCCTTTGCTGCTGCTGCCCCACATTGTCCCGCGTGCGCCTCCGGGCCATGCGTGCGGGACCATGTGAGGTGGCAGCGGGGAGGGGTGGGTGTGTGCCACAGCTCACCTTCCCCCGTCCCTGCCCCCACCAGCGCGAGGAAGGTTGGCACAACTTCACTTCCAGATCTGCGGCCAGCTGAACTTGGCGATGCAGGGATCACCACTGCCGCCTCCTGCTTCCCTGTGTCATTGGCCTGTCAAGGGGCTTGGAGCAGGAGGAGCAACAGCTGCTGCCCCTGTCAGAGCCACCGTATAGACAGGGCCTGCACCAGGTGAGGGCTCCTTTCTGGCCATCCCGGGGCCATCTCCGCCCACGGTAATGGGGCTGCCATGATGCTGACAGACCCCACTGGCCCCCATGCACTCACTGGCCTGTATGTGTGTGGGGGCCAATGGAGTCAGGCAGCAGCTGCTCTGGCCCCTGCCTCGCCTTGCCTTGCCCCGTGGCAATTGGCACACCCGCCCTGCCTTGCCTTGCCTCACCCCGCAGGAGGAATCTTCAGCCCACCGCCCCAGCCACTAGAGACCCCCTGGATCTCTCCCAACCCTGCCCAGCCCCCACAGGCATCCCTTCCCACAAGCATCATTGAGATGGCCACACCCACCATGGCCATGACCACCCAGTCAGCTGTGACCACTGCAGCCACGCCCACCCAGTTGGC